AAAAGTCGATTTTGATTATAAAACATTAAAAATTTTCCGCGATTTATTTGATTTGAAATTTAATTGAATTTTTTGACGTTTCATTTTTGACAGTTTTTCGATAATATTAAAAAAATTAATTTATTATTGAAAAAATGAAATCTACAGCAAATTTTGATTAATTTAAGTCCAAACACCACCTCATTATCTTAATAAATAAGGGAGTTATTGGCGTTTAAAGAAAGCGATCGTCGATTGTTTTTTTGTTCCTGTCATAACAAAAAGTGTCATAACTTTTTTGTTTTTGCAGATAACCCCATCAAGTTTGGTGTCATTTTAAAGGATTTTTTATTCTCCTTCCAACAAAATCATTTTATATAATCAAATTATTTTTTGACATAACCTCAAAATTAATTTTTATTCAAACTATACGTTGCGACCCCTCATTTTAAAGCATTTTTCGTCTAGATTAATAATTTTTTTTCATCTAACCTCAATTTTCAAGATCGACTTTTATGTTACACGAAATCGGATTTTTCATTTTCTTTAATGTTCATAAAATTAAAATTATAGTGTTTTTTAACGTTTTTAGGTTAATTCTAGTGTCAGTTCTAAGTAGCCCTAAACACCGATAGATGGCGCTCTTTTAATTTTTTTTTTACAGGGTTCTACTTACACTAAATTTTTAAATTAAATTAATTAATTAATTAAATTCTTACCTTATAAGTACCAACAACAAGATTAATAATTTCTTCGCTTTTATTAGTAAGTTTGTGGTATTTAGATAAATCGATATGTTTTTTTAATTCTTTGTATTGCTCTTGAATAACTCGTGCGTCCTCACTTTCGGCAATTGCAAAAATGATGTGTATTCCGTTTTCTAACGATTTATGATTAACGAATGAAATCGATGGATAATCAAACTCGTGATCTTTCGTGTATTCGTTATTAATTGTATGACATTGTCCATCGTTGGGGTGTAAAGCCCCGACTAATCTGCCATCTCCAGCAACGTGGAAATAATCGTCCGTGGTGAACACAACTAAACGTGTAGCTTCTTTTCTCCATCCGATTTCGTTCGTGCAAACGAGTACTTGGATTAAAGCTTCTAATCCTCCTTCGGGGTGGTCTAAGTTGCTCGAAATTTCTGTTTCGTTTACTTTCGTTTGGAATTCCTCGATGTTTGTCGTTAAACTCAAATGATTTTTGAAGCTGTATCCCCTTATGCAACTCTGCGAACCACAGTTCGGTGCTATACCACTAAAATCGTTTATAAAAAGTTTATTTGATACACAGACATTAATTACTTACGGGAAAAAATCGATTGGCGGTAAGGTTTTATCGACGAATGATCCAAATCCTATTTTATAATCGGACGTTTGTTTTGTAATTGCCTCAACCAAATCGTTTCCCAATTTCGATATTAAATCTTTGTATGGTTTCATCGTGTAGGAAGCGTCCATTAAAAAGTAGAGATCAAGGGGGTTTTGCGCCCTGGCAAATTTAAATTCGACGGTGTGTGCTTGATTTTTTGGAATTTTTAGTTTGATGTGTTGTGGTTGTATTTGAACGTACTGTTGACGTTGGTCGGATGATAAAGGGTCGTTTCTTATAATTGTTGATGAAATATTTGCACTGACTTGCGTTTCGCATGAAGAGTTTTCTTTATTTTGACAGTTCATCGTGTTGTTCTAAAAAATTTTTAATTATCGATGACACATAGCTATAAAATCACCGAATTAAGTGGATTATTATATTTACCGTTGGGTTAAGACACCAAATACAGCTTGGTTCTTGAATGCATTTTCCGCACGTTGATAAATCCATACAAGAATCATTTTGTGCGGAAGAAAATGCAAAAAATAGGAGAGCTATTACTAATTGTACCAACATTTTTGTCACAATTGATAGTATTCGTCATGATAAGATTATTATTAAAAAATCTTATCGTTAAATAAACAGTAAGTCTTTTTAATTTCGTTCCGTTGAAAACAGTTTTTGACATCTGATTCTCGGGTTTTATTATTTATAAATTAATTAATTTAATTTAAATATTTAGTATAAGTACAACCCTGTAAAAAAAAAAATTAAAATAACGCCATCTATCGGTACTTAGAACTAACAGTAGAATTAACCTAAAAACGTTAAAAAACACAATAATTTTAATTTAATGATCGTTGAAAAGAAAATGAAAAATCCTTTAAAATGATACCAAACTCGATTTCGTGTAACATAAAAATCGAACTTGACAATTGAGGTTAGATGGAAAAAAATTCTTAATGTAGACGAAAAATGCTTTAAAATGAGGGGTCGCAACGTATAGTTTGAATAAAAATTAATTTTGACGTTTCAAATTTCAATTTTGAGGTTATGTCAAAAAATAATTTTGATTAAAGTAAATTTTTTCTATGATATTGTTAAATTTTAGTAAACGTCAAGGTAAATGTCAAAATAAATGTCAAAATAAATAAAATAATTTCGAAACGATTTTGTTGGATGGAGAATAAAAAATCCTTTAAAATGACACCAAACTCGATGGGGTTATCTGCAAAAACAAAAAAGTTATGACACTTTTTGTTATGACAGAATCAAAAAACAATCGAAGATCGTTTTCTTTAAAGCCCCATATCTCCCTTGTTTATGAAGATAATTAGGTGGTGTTTGGACTTAAATTAATCAAAATTTTGTGTAGATTTCATTTTTGCAATAATAAATTAATTTTTTTAATATTATCAAAGAACTGTCAAAAATGAAACGTCAAAAAATTCAATTAAATTTCAAATCAAATAATCAAAATCGACTTTTAAAGTTAAAACGGGATTTTAATTTGGAATAAAAACCAAAATGTCACTTTAAAGTTTATACTTTAATTTTAATTTTACGATCATTGAAAAGAAAATGAAAAATCCTTTAAAATGATACCAAACTCGATGGGGTTATCTGTAAAAACAAAAAAGTTATGACACTTTTTGTTATGACAGAATCAAAAAACAATCGAAGATCGTTTTCTTTAAACGCCAATAACTCCCTTATTTATTAAGATAATGAGGTGGTGTTTGGACTTAAATTAATCAAAATTTTGTGTAGATTTCATTTTTGCAATAATAAATAAATTTTTTTAATATCATCGAAGAACTGTCAAAAATGAAACGTCAAAAATTCAATTAAATTTCAAATCAAATAAATCGCGGAAAATTTTTAATGTTTTATAATCAAAATCGACTTTTAAAGTTAAAACGGGATTCTAATTTGGAATAAAAACCAAAATGTCACTTTAAAGTTTATACTTTAATTTTAATTTAATGATCGTTGAAAAGAAAATGAAAAATCCTTTAAAATGATACCAAACTCGATGGGGTTATCTGTAAAAACAAAAAAGTTATGACACTTTTTGTTATGACAGAATCAAAAAACAATCGAAGATCGTTTTCTTTAAACGCCAATAACTCCCTTATTTATTAAGATAATGAGATGGTGTTTGGACTTAAATTAATCAAACTTTTATGTAGATTTCATTTTTGCAATAATAAATAAATTTTTTTAATATCATCGAAGAACTGTCAAAAATGAAACGTCAAAAATTCAATTAAATTTCAAATCAAATAAATCGCGGAAAATTTTTAATGTTTTATAATCAAAATCGACTTTTAAAGTTAAAACGGGATTCTAATTTGGAATAAAAACCAAAATGCGACTTTAAAGTTTATACTTTAATTTTAATTTAATGATCGTTGAAAAGAAAATGAAAAATCCTTTAAAATGATACCAAACTCGATGGGGTTATCTGTAAAAACAAAAAAGTTATGACACTTTTTGTTATGACAGAATCAAAAAACAATCGAAGATCGTTTTCTTTAAACGCCAATAACTCCCTTATTTATTAAGATAATGAGGTGGTGTTTGGACTTAAATTAATCAAAATTTTGTGTAGATTTCATTTTTGCAATAATAAATAAATTTTTTTAATATCATCGAAGAACTGTCAAAAATGAAACGTCAAAAATTCAATTAAATTTCAAATCAAATAAATCGCGGAAAATTTTTAATGTTTTATAATCAAAATCGACTTTTAAAGTTAAAACGGGATTCTAATTTGGAATAAAAACCAAAATGTCACTTTAAAGTTTATACTTTAATTTTAATTTAATGATCGTTGAAAAGAAAATGAAAAATCCTTTAAAATGATACCAAACTCGATGGGGTTATCTGTAAAAACAAAAAAGTTATGACACTTTTTGTTATGACAGAATCAAAAAACAATCGAAGATCGTTTTCTTTAAACGCCAATAACTCCCTTATTTATTAAGATAATGAGATGGTGTTTGGACTTAAATTAATCAAAATTTTGTGTAGATTTCATTTTTGCAATAATAAATTAATTTTTTTTAATATCATCAAAGAACTGTCAAAAATGAAACGTCAAAAAATTCAATTAAATTTCAAATCAAATAAGTCGCGGAAAATTTTTAATGTGTTATAATCAAAATCAACTTTTAAAGTTAAATGGGATTCTAATTTCGAATAAAAATCAAAATGTCACTTTAAAGTTTATACTTTAATTTTAATTTAAGGATCGTCGAAAAGAAAATAAAAAATCCTTTAAAATGATACCAAACTCGATGGGGTTATCTGTAAAAACAAAAAAGTTATGACACT